AGTGATGAATGAAGAGTAGTAAATTTTAACTCAACATCAGGAATACATACCAGGGCGCACCCAGGGCCTCATATTAGGTGTAGTTTGCATTCTCATCCCTGGAGGGCGATTTAAAACAGGGCGAACTCCTCGCACAGGATTAGGAGAACCACGAGGCGTTATGGTTATGTTGGGGTTGTTTCGTAAAGGGTGAATACCACTTGTTAATTTGATATTTCCCTTGTTCGCCATACCAACATTTACACCTACCGGACAAAGGTAAGAATTAAAATGTTAGAACACATTTAGAAGTAAAGAAAGGAAAACTAAATAGCAACTACCAAGAGATTCCAACAAACCTTTCTTTAATTCATCTTTATCTTGAGCAAATGGTTTGGTGGGCTCAGTTTTGTTATTTGCGCCCATCTTAAAAGCTGTTCGGATAGCGATTATTTTTCCATTTTCCAGTTGCATGTAAATGCCCTTTGGACTTTTAAGTACCATAACCCTCTGCCCGGCCTTTAGAACAATTGATGATCGTTCAGGAGAATTTGTAGGAATAACAACATCTAAAATAATCATAAAGAAACAAAAGTAAGATTAGACAAATTAAAAACATGTCTTGCATAAACCAGCTAAATGAGGAAAGTTTAAAATTTAGCAACTTGCCTAAAGGCAATGTCATTTCCTGGGCTGACATTCCCTGTCTTTGCCAAACTTCAGCTGGAATCCACTTTGTATTCCTATTTCCAGTTGCAAGTGTATTGTTGAGCTCAGATTGCATTGGGCGCACACTTGCAATAGGCTTTATGATATTACCTTGAGCATCACGCTGAACAGGTCTGGTATTGGATATAAAAAAAAGAAAGTTGTAAGCTGTCCATTTTCCAAACAAAGAGAAAGTACAGTAGACAGTAGACTGTATACTAACCTAATCTGAAGGCCCCCTTGATTTGCATTATAATAGTTGTACACAGGTCTGTTGGCAGCTCTCTTTTCCATTTCATAACTACGTTTAGCTAACCGTTTTTCAGCTTGTGATAACTTTTTATCCTTCCTGTCAACTAAGAGAGATTCATGTTGGAAAGGTGCCTGAAACAAAATTTTGCAATATTTAATACAACAATAACAAATGATAGTAATAACCTAAGTATCATTTTCCAAACAAAATCAAAATGTACCTTTGTCAGCATCTTCCCATACTTTTCTAAAATTTTTTGCATTGCCACATCTTTATATTTGTCTTTTTCATCAGAGAGATCTTTGATCTCAGATTCTTTCTCATCATCCCAGCACAAGTTGGTAACCTATTTTTTTATTTTTTTTAAAGAAAAATAATTATTATCATTAAATATGTAGAAGTATGTTGTATAAGAAATCATCTCTAAGAAATATGTTGTATATTTACCTCCTTGATAGAAAGATGTGCATCAGGATTGCATTCATCTACAACTCGATCTGACATTCCCTGTTTGTTGATTTGTCTGTCATATATCTTTTTCTCAAGACAGTTATCCATGACAAACCTATACACAAAACAAGGCTTCTGTTGTCCGTATCTGTACACTCTGCAAACTGCTTGTGTGTCATGGCAGGGATTCCATGAAGCATCAAATACTATGACTCTGTTTGCACCAACCAAGTTTATACCCAATGAACCAGCACGGGTTGAAACCAGGAAGAGATGCACATTTGAATTGGCATTGAATTCATTGATAAGTTTTTCTCTTTCCTGAGCAGCTGTGCTACCATCTAACCGGAAATAAGTACGGTTCCGTTGCCACCTTTCATAAACTCCAGGAGCAGGAATGAAGGAGCGTTGCAGATATTCTTCTATTAACGACAAAGTAAATAATGACTGAGAAAATAAAAGAATGCGATCGCCAAGAGCAAGTGCCTCTTCTAATATGCAGAAAAACAAAACCATTTTTGCTGAGTTTTCAATAAGCCCAGGGACATAATCCTTCATTAATTCAACAGCCCAATCGTAAGGTATTCCTGGATCTTCTCTTCCTGATGATTTGACAGGAGTAATTTCAACAGGTGTTTTTCCTTCTGCCCCCAAGACAACATCCTCTTCATCTTCTTTAACCTCTTTATCATTATTTTCCTCTGGACCATCTTTGTCTTTATCAGAAATCTCCATTGAGTCAACTCTCCACGAATCAGAAGAATTTGTTCCTTTGGCATCAGCTTCCTTTGTACTGTTAACAATATTTCCATCATCTGTGCACAATTCTTTTGCATCTATATCACTGCTGGACTTGTTCTCCAATTTCATGTCAACCATATCATTCTTCAATTGATTTAAGGGTGATGGGCCAGGAATATATTTATCATTATCAAACTTTTTAATTCCAGAATTTTGCATTGGTTTTGTATCTTGATTATTCACCATATTGTAGTCCTGAGGTTGACCATGAGAGTTAATCCATGGATCATACATTGATCTGTCCTTCACGTCATACATTCCTTTTCCTGGTTCAGTCTTTCCTATAGAGGTATCAAATGCTCTGAAGTCATCAGTTGAATGAAGAAGATCTTCTGCAGAGGGTGGCACGTCTCCTGCAGTCAATGACATTGGAGCCATTGATGTAGCTTGTGAATGATTAGGGGGCTGGCTAGAAATGTTCATCATTGAAGATGGATTTGAGTAAACATTAGACATACCCATATTCTGAGGGTGATGACCCATCATGCCTTCTCCCAAGCCAGGAGTGCTACTCATTCCCATACCTGGCCCCATCAAGCCCATAGAGGGGTTCTTTGTTGGTGCTCCACCTGGCAGCATACCTGAGGCATTAACAGGGCTTTGCTGGGAAGTTGGATTGGAATTAATATTCCGACAGAGTGAAGAGGAAGAATTTCTGATTGGGCTTCCACCTGGAAGCATGCCCGATGCATTAACAGGGCTTTGTTGTGGTATTAAGTTTGGATTCAGACTGGGGCGGCTTGGAGGTGCCATCAAATTTTGATCCAACATTTGCTGATCCATTAATCCAGGTTGATATGGCTGAGTTGATGTGCTTGAGGAACCACTACTTCCACTTCCATACATGCTTTGATTGAAAGAGGCAGACGAACCACTAGCTCCATACCCTGGAAAGGCTGGATTTGATCCGCTTGAATTATAAGAAGAACCTGAAAATGACTGGCTGCCTGGTGCCCCTTGATTAAAGGAGTTGTAGGAACCACTACCACTACCACTCCAATTTTGACTATAATTGGAACCTGAACTAAAACCGTCCGTCATGGAGTGTTGTCCAGATGGGCTATTGCCACTGAAGTATGGGGGGGCCATCCCACTGTATCCTGATGATGATCCAGCAGGCGGAGGATTGCCGGATGTAGATCCACTGAACATTGATTGGTTTGTTGAAGAACCATACTGACTGCTTTGTGAAGCTGGAGAACTGCCAAGAGAGTCTCCATATCCACTGGATCCTGAACCAGTAAAAGATCCTTGGGCTGAGGAATGGCTGCTTGAACTGGAACCAAACCCAGGGGCACCACTATATCCACCATGTCCGTATGCACCACTCGGATTGTAGTGGTGAGGTGTATTAAATGAGCCATATGGTGTTTGACCAGAGGTGCCATATGGGTTGTAGGAACCCATCATAGAATTTGAATTCATTTGGCCATGCACAGGGTATTGACCAGATGCGCCATATGGAGGATTAGAATCACTCTGGCTTGCATTGGGTATAACAGCAGCAGCTGGTTTCATAGGAGACACCTCTTTCTTCTTCCTGCCTCTAGTTGCACCTCCCCTGCCACGTGGTTTCGGGGCTCCTTTCGTTTCATCGACGGGGTTACCAGTGGGATCTATAACAGTATTGGCAGCAAGAGCAGCAGCTGCCTCTTCTAAATCAAGGTCAACACCTTCTCCACCTTCTCTCTTCTTCAAGAATTGATATAGGACATCAGGATGATTCCAAATCTGAAAACCACAACAATGTATGAGCAATGAAATACATATACAACCACATTTTTAAAAAGGCAGTATAGAAGGTAACATACTTTGCAACAAACTGCAAAAGCTTTGAGAGGATTAGGAACAGCTTTAGTGCGTACAACTTCATTCATGAAGGTATCATACAGTTTACGTTGGAATGGAGTCAACCTCACAAGCAAGACAAATTCTGACTTCTGGGGTAAAGCAGACGTTAATACTGAGTGTGAACGCCGCTGAACAAAACCTTCAAGCAGTGAGTGGAGGACATGAGCACGGTATCTCATCAGACGAATATCTTGAGGAGTACTGTCAATACACTGCCCGTTTTGAATTGGGCGCTCAAACATATTGCAAAATTCAGTCTTTGTTCCAAGATAGTTTGGTCGAACAAAGTCAACCATGCACCTAGAGATAAAATCCCATTAGAAATGTGATATTCATTACATAACAATATGGGTCAACTCAAGCATCGTAACCAAACAAAGCACAAACCAGTATTCAAGAAGGTTATTCTGTAGCGGGTAGCCAGTAAGCACAACTCTCCTTTTACTTCGAATTTGTTTTAAGGCCATTGAAATTGAGGCATGACTGTTTTTAATTCTGTGACCCTCATCACAAATAACAAGATCAGGACCCGGTTTTACCAAGGCTTCAAAGACCTCTGTTAAAAAAGTTAAAGATTTTAGTACAGCAAAAAAAGGATTCTCAGCAAGTAAGATAGTTAAGAAGAGTAGCGTACTTTCTAAGATTTCTTTTTGGCGCTTTTCTTCCTCCTCGCGATCTAGTTCTTCATCATCTGACGTCATTCTCTTCCTTCTACTCTTTTTTGGTTTCGAAACTTTTTTTAGGCTCAATTGGCGGTACATTTCATACCCAATAAGTAGAACACCTCCAGATGTTGACCAATCCTCCACCACCTATAACATAAAAACAAACGTTTAAGACTGAAAACTAAAGAGAACACAGATACTACAAAATAATGCATTTCAGATTGCTTCCTCACCTTTGCTCTAGCTTTTAAGGTTTTGTGTGAATCATTTAAAACATAGATACTAAAAGTTCGGGGTCTGACTTCCCCTTGAGCAGCCAAAGGAGTGGCCATAGGATCATCAGGCATCCACATATTAAATTCCGATAACCAGTTTTGAAGGGTATTGATAGGCATTATACACATAACTGTTTTGGCAGGGGTATGCCTTAAGAAAATGTCACAAAATGTGATAACCTAGAAATTATTGAAAACATTGTTGTATTGGGATGAAGGGGTATAATAATAAACAACCGAGTGTAAAACATGTGCATGCACAACACTTTCAGAATTCACAAAGAGCGGCATTACAAAACATTCCAACTTACTTGTAAAGTTTTTCCTAATCCCATAGAATGAGCTAAAATGCAACCAAAGCCTGTTGATGTGCTAAATCTTTCAATTGATTCTATTACGTTGTCATAAAGAAATCTTAGACCACCAATCTAGAAAACAAAGGGTTAATATAGAAATTTATGAATGAAAAAATGAGATATAGGTGCAACTACTCTCACATTTCATCAAAATTATTATATTTTGAGGAAGAAGACCTACTTGATGAGGTTTGATAATTCTTGCTATGTGTGGCGCAAGGAATATATCAGGATCTCCTTCAGGTTTTCCCATATTAACTTGAACTCTGCCCTCCTCGTCAGGCACGTTGAATGCATCATTTGTGTGCATACCAGAGTTAGTAGGGTCATCATCTGCTTCATCTTCTTCAAGATCAGATGGTTCAGACAAAACAATGCAGTCATCTTCTGATGAGCTACTAATAGTAACCACATCTATCAAAAGAAAATGTTGTTAGGAAGAAGTCACTCAAAATTTTACTAATAAAGGAAATGAATTAGAACATCATTTTACTAACCCTTCTTTTTCTTTTTTCCTTCTTCATCTAGTTCATCAATAATATCTTCATCTATCTCTCCCTCCTCTTCCTCCTCCTCCTCTTCTTCTTCCTCTTCCTCTTCACCTTCAGAAGCACTGTATGATGCCTGAGCCTGAATCATAGAAGGCTGTTTGACTACTTTTTGAACAGCAGCACCAGGTCGAACAGGTGCAATTGAAACAGACGGGGTCATCATAGTGGTGCCATGAAGAGACTGAGGTTTAGATAAAAGAGTTTTTGTGACAGACGGTGTGATTTCAGCAGATGTCCCTTTAGGGATTTTTAGAAGTTCCAACACCTAAACAGTAAAATGGAATTGTTAAAAAGATTAATGAAAATACAGTTGTCATATCTCCGTCGGTTCAAAAGGAAAATGATAGAGATTGTTCCACAATATACCTTCTTGTTAGATTGGGCAGTTGCACCTGAACCAACTTTGACCACAACAGTGTTTGCGGAGGAACTAGATGAGCCACTTTTACTGGCCTGAGCTGGACCAACAGAAACCTGCTTCAGAATTGATGAGGTTCCTTGAAGAAGGGACATGACTTTGTGCTCCGCCCTCTGCTGCTCTTTCTTTTGAATTGCCATCTAAAAAAATGTTAGACAAATGTTATAAAAAAAACAACACCTTGATATTTTTTTTTTCAAACTAAGGCAAATAGAAAAAAGGACATATACTGTACCTCGCGTAAAACTCTTTGCTGTTCCTGAACTCGTTGTAAACGCTCCATTTCCTGTCGCTGAGCAGCTAATGTTGCCTCATCGAGCTGAGTTTCATCCATTACATCTCGGATGTTACGACGCATGTTTGATGTTTTCTTATCATCTTTTTTATCTCCACCACTGCCACTAGTAAAATTACAACAAAGAACCATATTGTACACTACTTAACTGTTTTGAAAAATACACACAACTAACAGATGTAAAACTTACTCGTCATCATCATCTTTCTTTTTGCCCTTTTTCTTAGGTTTCTTTTTCTTTTTCTTCTTTTTGCCAGAACCATCATCTTCACTTTCTGTTTCCTCTGATGTCTCACTAGCATCACCTTTTTCTGGAAAAAGTTGATACAAAAATCACTTGTTAGTTTAGTTAAAAGCAGCAAAACGAGAAGTGGAGATTTTAAATGGAGCATCAATACTCACCTCCCTTTTTCTTCTTCTTTTTACGCTTCTTTTTCCTTTCTTCCTCACTTTCATCAGTATCATCCTCAACAAGAATTTTCCTTTTACCCCTGGTTCTAAGTTTCTTTTTAACGTCCCCACCATCTGGCTTGTCTTCATCCTCTTCTTCTCCTTGTTTATTTTCTAGTTCTTTTGCTTCTCCTTCCATTGATTGGCTTCCACCATCATAATCAAAGTTTGGATCGTCAGCTTCTTTCTTAATGGGTGCCAGTTCATCAAGGCCCATCTCTCCTTCTGCCATTCCCTCAAATACTTGATCAGCATAACTTACATCTTCCATACCACCATTGAGATCTCCTTCTTCCATTGCTTCGTCTTCATTATATGGCTCTGTTTTGGGAACCTTACGTTTCTTCTTCCCACTTGTGCTGTTTCCATTTTCCTCCTCTCCGAAGTCTTCATCTTCTCTTGAACTGTTTTCACCTTCTTCTGTCTTCCTTTGAAAATATGAGGGAGCCTCTTCTGCTGTACCTGCCTCAGCCTGAGCCATTTCAAGGAATTGAGAGGCATCCATTACTCCATCTTCCTCATCCTCTCTGTTCTCATGATGTTCACTAGGATAATTCACAGCATCAGAAAGTGCTTTCGGATTCTCACTTCCTTCTGTTTCGACAGCCGTTTCATTCTTGACATCAGTCAAGTCCTTACTATCATCCGCACTGTGTTTCGGATATGATTCAGATTTTACTTTTGCATCAGGCGTCATGGATTCTGGAGACTGGACAGCTTCATTTTTCTCCGGGTCACTAGATGATGCATTCTTGACCTCTGAGGTTGCTGGAATAGATTTGTCATGTCAGTTAAAAATAAACAGAGAAAAATTAATTCACAAAGTAAGGGTTTAACAAGTGTCAAATTGTTACCCGTTGAATCCTCCATTTTGGTGGTACTGGTATCAGCTTGAGTTTCATCTCTCTCCACAGCAGGTGAATCACTTTGTGGTGTTACCCTCTGAATAGTTACATCTCCAATTTGAGTTACAAAGGTATCCATAATGAAATTGGTTTCAGCTCTCAGACACTAAGCAGGGGTCCCTGATGGTGACCAACACTGCTGCATCTCCAGAAGTCCCATAATAAAAATCAAATGACCTGCAACACAAAATAATATTGACAGTTAAGAATAGTTGTAATCATAATAGTTGGGTAAACCTCGTGAATCGACTCAATGCTGAGAAACTAAATAATTAACTTTTCAAGTTGAGGTTTTGTTTGCTATGAAAATAGTTTTCATTTTAAGGTTATGTTGTTTCATTAGACATAAATCGGAACTACAAAGTCTAAAAGCCAACAGGAGTTAAGAAATAGCTTAGGTTAATGATAATTTGACAAGACACATACAATGTCATTGAGTTGACAGTTAACATCTTACAAGAGAATTTGAAACAATAACTGATATAACAAATATTTGAACTGAGTGAATTTTTCACCAAAGACATAAAAATGCAAGTGCTATGTAGGCATGAGTTAATTTTGATAGTTATAATAAATAAAAATAATAAAATCTTGTCAAGAGGAGAGATGAGGCAGGTAGGAGACCAATATACATACAATTAATAAGAAAAAATTGTCAGTAAAGTGCATTCATATCATGGCAAACCTACGGCAAAATTGATATGAATTTACGAGACTTTGAAGATTTTCACACCAAAGCTAAAATCGTGTCAGGACGAACAATTTGATGTCTGTACAACCCAGCCCACAGCTCGGTGCGTCGCGTTGCTTAAGCCTACCCGGTGAGCTTAACTTACTGCTCTGTTTCCTCACTTATTAAGCCCATATGATTCTTCAAGCTTTCGACACCACACATATAACACAGAAAACGGCCCTAGAGTCACAGCACAGTCTCATGAGCCGAAATTGTAACCAAAAAACAACAAAAGATTAAATGCATCACAAATAGATCCCGACTTCTACCTAAAAATTTTCCAGCATCACCAACAACAGAGCAAATCTTGTGGAAGCACAGGAAAAGAGTTATCACTCTGGGGAAGAGTGGAAAAGAAGTCTCAGCCAAAGTGGCCCATAAAGTGTCATGAGCGCACCACCTTGCCCTTTAAAGCCAACAAATCCAATAATGCTAGTGAAAGGTTTTTTTTCACGGGGAGCGGAGAGTTTTCATACTTGATCATTCGTAAGGTTGGCAGCCTTGCGCTTCCTCGCCGAGCACTCTCTCTATCTCTCTCGCGCTACCAGCTCCAGCTGCGCCCCACCTCTCTCTGGTGGCTCTCTTCCTACTTGTCCCTTCCGCCCTACCCTTCCCCCCCTCTCTCTCCCTCACACCGACCCGACCCACCACATCGACCAATCATCAAATTGTTACTCTGGAGCAACCCTAGGAAAATTGGAATTGCCGACAGTTACTTTCTTCGGGCAAAATTGGACCACAAAAAGTCACCTACATCGTGAGACCCTTCTGGAACGGGGAGCACTACCCTTCTATCCTTTCCACGGAGAAGGAAACTTCCCTTTCACTTCGCCGCCTAGATCGGCCCCCCACTGTCAAGGCCGCGGACAGCACTACTAGGCCTCTGCCCCCAAATGAAGGGCGCCTTACTGTTAGTGCTGCTGGTCGACGTTGTATGGGTACCCAAGTGGCGACCTCCCCCTTACCCC